TGCTCCTTTCATATATTCAAAAAGGATGATTGCATTTAGCTGAGTTTGATTGCATACAAATAATAGAACAGCTGCTAAAGGTCTTCTTCTAGACAACCAGAAACACATTTTTATCTCATTTATCTTGACTCAAACCACATCAGTGCCTCTCAGTCCATTTGTGTACAGCTGTGGCCAAAAGATGTAAGAATGACCTAAGAACCGTTTTTTAAAGAGTTTCCTACATTAGTGTTTGTATATCGTCTTGTTAGATGTCTCTGTGGTGTTATGGTTTAGGGACCATAGATAGTTTCTTGGAGGATTGCCCCCCGCGAGCGGACCTTGTACCTCTGGCTCTTTTTTCCCAGGGGAGGGCTTGACCAGACGTGTTTAACTGTCACTGATACACTCCAAACACGACTTTGTTTCAGAAAGTTCAATTAACTTGATTCATATAGCCAAAAGAGCAGAGTACACCAAACACACATGGACCCCCTGAAACCTCTTATCCATTGTTGCCAGTCAAAAAGGCCCTGAACCTCCCCAAACATAATATTTTATACTTTAAGCTGGACACAATGCACTTAATGAGCTGGCTTCCCGTCATTTAATCAGTTTCCTATGTGTAAGACTGGCTGTAGCCAATCCCATACTATGTGAGAACATCTGAATTCCATTATATGTTTTCGCCTAATCTGATGTGGGTAAACCAACAATTCCGAAAATGGACAGTTCCTCCATGGTCTGATAGAAAGCTGAGTGGAGCCAAGTGGAGTGACCAAGATCAGCATTCTTGAGATTACACTAATTAGCTCTCAATGGTATATTGAATTGGAACTACATTTTGAACATTTGAGAAGTTTCAAAGGATTTCATGAGCAATTGAATGAAATTTATAGCCTGGCAAGCCATCCTATATTTGTGAATGTATAGACTGACGACAACCCCAAGGACAGAATTCAGTCGGGGGCGGAATCTACAGTTGTCTTTCAGACTGTCTCTACATGCTATTGGATAACGAACGAAGTGACCTACTCACCATTACGGATGTCAGTCAACAGGTCATCAGTGCAAGACACAAACGCATCCTTTTTTTAAATAAAGGGTGTAAGGACCTCTATTTGCTCTTGACTCAAAGAAAAGCCCAAGTCTAAATAGTCCTAAGCTGATGCCAAAGCCATTTCAAACGAGCATCTTAGTTGCTCTGCTCAGTCGCCTCATGCCACCGCCCAAATCAATAGAGCATTGTGATCGGCAAGACACAAGAATGGTCTGACCTGCTGAAGCTCCTATGGAGCGTACCTAGACCGACATGAAGAGCAAATTCATTTAGCTTTGGCTAATGTTTGCCTAGATTCCTAGGCTGCGAAGTTCACTCAAAGAGAATAGTTGTATTTTTGGCCCTTTGTTTCAAGAGCTCTGCTCTTCACTCTGACATGGTGTCAGTCAACTTTTGGTCACTCATTGTCACTACCTGGAGTTTGTTACAATTTGTAGGCTTTCGTCCACCTACCTCTTTAGGACTGACTTCAAGTTCACCAAGGTCTGCAGTAACATCTTTGCTGCCCTTCTTGACACTAGGTCATTATATGAAAGTCCTAACTCCCTGAATCAGTCATAATAGTACTGGATATTTGTTAGGCACTCTGAAACATTAAAGGGGACAAAGAATCTAAACCATCATTTTCTTGTTGTTTGTGAATAAAGTAGCATGCCAAAAAGTCAAAGCCGTGTGTGACCCACTCTTTATGTAAATTAGAAAGTTTAAAAATGCAATAGAAAAACTTATTTTCTGAGAAACCTCTTATTAAAACATCACAATGCGGAGCCCTTCCTCCACTAATCTACAGTCTCCAGTGTCTGCGGCTGATTGTGGGTGACAATGGCACAGGAGTTAAGTGCTCAGTAGGGTTGGGCATCAAGCATCGATTGGAACCGGAACCAATTGTTAGTTTTTCCCGGAATCGTTCAAAGTTTTTTATTTCGATTCCTAGTTTCGATTCCTAGTATGCCGACTGGAAGAGGAATCCGCGGCCGACCTCCGTGAAAAATAAACGTGATCTGCAAATTGTGATCAACGCTTTTCAGAGCTCATCACACCAGCTGTCTGTGTGCAGCACTGAGTCCCCTTCCTCCCACCTGACACGCAATGTAAACTTTAACTCCTGCAGCGTAGAGGAAAGTTGTTTAAATAGGTCAACATGGTGGATGTAATAGAAGCTTTAAAGAACAAACTCTGGGCAGTGTGAGGTGAGTTTGTCTCATAATAAAAACGCACACGGACCGTCAGCAGTCAGAAGCAGCCGCTCACCAACACTCGTGTGTGTGAGCGTGCGCATCAGAAAGCTGAACAATAACCTGTAGAGTTCAATTCATTTCAAATTCAAAGATACTTTATTAATCCCAAGGGGAAATTAGATTAGATTAGATTTAAGTCATCATGCTAGAGAAGCTTCTCTGTGGTGGACCACACCAGCTTCTGTCACAATAAATAATAATAATAATAATAATAATAATAATAATAATAATAATAATAATAAATGACACACAAAGTTGTGAACATTTTAATTTCCTTTCCGAACTATTTCTGTTGAGACTTTTAATGTTTAAAATCTCTTAGATTGTTACTGACAGCAGCTACATTTAAGTTTCACTTTCTTTTCTGACTGAATGCTGCAGCAGCATGGATGTGTAGTTCTCAGTCATCCTGGACATGATCATCCTGAGAGTTTTAGCTGAAAACAGCTGGACGTTTCTGGATATGTTGGAGACATTTAGCCTCTCATCCCAGAGGCTTCTTCCAGACTTTGGTTGTGGTCAGAAACAAACACACTGCTCACCCCGTAATCTGAAGTTTGCAGGTTCAAGCCTCGCTCAGTCTGTCACTGCCGTTGTGTCCTTGGGCAAGCCACTTAAACCCCCTTGCCTTCTGGTGGTGTTCAGAGGGACAGGTGGCACCTGTGTACGGCAGATTTGCCACTGTCAGTGTGCCCCAGGGCAGCTGTAGCAGCAATGTAGCTCATCACCATCAGGGTGTGAATGTGTGTGAATGGGTGAATGTGTTGTAAAGCACCTTAGGAGGTTCCAGGACTCTAGAAGGCGCTATATCAACTATCAGCCATTTACCATTTTAAACCAACCAATCAGCAAGCAGCTCATCAGCATATGCATGTCTGACCAAGTGGGAGGAGTAAACAGCAATTTTTTCACAGCAAGGCTGATTTAGAGGGTTTAGAATGGCCAGTCCTGTTCATAACGTTTATGGACAGGATTTCTAGGCACAGCCGTGGAGGGTGTGGAGTTTGGTGGCAGGAAAATCTCATCTCTGCTTTATACGGATGATGTGGTCCTCCTAGCTTCATCAGGCTCTGGGCTACAGCTCTTACTGGGGAGGTTAGCAGCCAAGTATGAAGCGTCTGGGATGACGATCCGCATCTCCAAGTGTGAGACCATGGTTCTCGACCGGAAAAGGGCAGCTTGCCAACTCCGGGTTGGGAGAGAGATTCTGCCTCAAGTGGAGGAGTTCAAGTATCTCGGGGTCTTGTTCACGAGTGAGGGAAGGAGGGAGCGGGAGATCGACAGGCGGATTGGGGATGTGTCTGCTGTGATGTGGACGCTGAACTGTTCTGTTGTGGTGAAGGAGGAGCTGAGCCGAAAAACAAGGCTCTTTACCAGTCGATCTATCGCCCAGTCCTCACCTATGGTCATGAGCTTTCAGTAATGACCGAAAGAACAAGATTGCGGATACAAGTGGCCAAAATGAGTTTACTCTGCGGGGTGGCTGGGCTCAGCCTTAGGGATAGGGTGAGAATCTCAGACATTCGGGAGAGACTCAGAGTAGACCCGCAGCTCCTTCATGTTGAGAGGAGTCAGTTGAGGTGGTTTGGCCTCTTGTTAGGATGCCTCCTGGACGCTTCCCAGGGAGGTGTTTCAGGCATGTCCTGCTGGCAGGAGGCCACCAGGTTGACCCAGGACACATTAGAGAAAGTACATCTCCGAACTGGCCCAAGAACACCTTGGGGTCCTACCGGAGGAGCTGGTGAAGGTAGCCGGGGAGAGGACGGTATGGAGCTCCCTAGTTGGGATGCTGCCTCCGCGACTCAGACCCAGATAGGCGCAAGAAGATGAGACAAGACTGGCCTGTATCAGGGCTTCTGGGTCAGATGAAAACCAAAAGAAAATTTCTTATGCTTCTTAGAGATTCAAAGCACTGTTTTAGATTGCTGATAAACTCATTCTTTGTCCCCTTACCACATTTATGTGTCCATAGTGTGTGTGATGCTTTTTAAACACAAAAACTGCTTTACATAGAAGACAATTTGACTAATGTCTCACCCTACAGTAACAATAAAGTTTGTTTATTCATTCATTCATTTATTCACTCAAATTTAGTGGCCTTTTGTTTTTTATGCCTTAAGGGATTTGCGATTACTTGCATTTCATCTGATCCCTTTTCAGAATTTTCTAGAGCTTATGCAAACAGCCATCATACAAAATGTGGTGAAAGCTGAGCGATGATTAATTTCTGTGGTATTCTTTAACATTCTGGAAACATTTTAAAATAACAGACCAATAATTAAACAAGAAGATAAAGCTGGAAGGTTCTAAAATGGTTTTAATTTTAGGTTTGATGAAGCATCGTGACTTGTATTTTTATTGATTTGATTTTGGGCCTCCACTGACAACTGTGTGACAAAAGGATCAGCTTTTAGCTTTGTACTACATTTTATTTTTTTGTGTTGAAAAAAATCATCATAGCAGAAGGAAGTCACTGACAGCAGTGAATTATTGTTCCACTGACATTAACACTGAGATGCAGAAGCAAGTCCTTTTTAGCTTTTGAGAAACAGTCCACTTGGGTTTCTGCTCCTTTTCCTATTTTTACTTCTACTTCTTCAAATTGAATTCACCAGTCAGTCAAAATCTGATGCCATTTCACCAGCCTGAGTGTGTATAAGTGGTTTTTATTTGAGCTTAGTGTTAAACTGCATTATCACTGGAGTGTCTTCATTTCCCTGCAGGCTTTCTGGAAGGAAAAGGGCTTCTCGGGGGAAATAGTGACAGGATCATCGAGCGAATGTCCGTTCTGCATTACCTATGACGCCACCAGCCCACGTGGTAATCCAGCTCTGGTGGGCTTCTTCGCAGGCCATTTGGCTTCTCACTGGAGTGAGAAAGAGGTACACCGATAAGTGAAATAAAAAGAAGAAATTGTTAAGAAGAAAATTTTCCTCACTGATAGATTAATTAATGTTTAATTACTTTACCACCTAAGTAATAGAAGTTAATGTTTGTTGAACCAGAAATTGCACGAGACAATGCTCATTTAGAAAATAAAACCCACTAGTAGATGAAATTTCACATTCTGTTTAAACAATTAAATATGCTTTATCAAGAAAGATATTGAAATATAACAACATTTATCAGGTTTCTAAGGCAATTATACAAAGAAAACCACAAAAAATAAATAATAAGGTAATTCAATCCAGTGAAATTTTTTTTAATCAGAATTATTACAGAAACTTAATTTTGAACATTTACAAAATTCCATTCTACTCATTTATTATTGGTTCTATTTTAACCTAAAATTTAATGATTGCTTTTGTCTGTTTTTCAGTTTTCTTCATATATTTCACTGTAAATGTAAATAACTTCTAATGGCCAGTATTGGTTGGAGTTAAGTTTCTTACATCAGAGCCTTAGCAACCTTTTAATACTGTCCAGCCCATTTTCATATATGAGGGGAGAAAAACGGATGAACTTTAGTGTCAGCTAGTTCAAAAGCACCTTTGAAATGTTTTAGGGGAAAAAAAAATCTTGCTTCAGCTTGAAGATGTTCTGAATATTTCCTGAAAATTTCTGTTTCATAATTTGACCCATTTTTGCATAACTCATTCACACATCCTAAAACACTTAAAGGTACTGGCCAGACTGCATGAAAACAACAGAAATTCTGTGTAACTACACTTAATCATCTGTATAAAGATAAACTGGGGTCAGAGTTTCATTTTGTTAAGCATTTTTGTCATAAATCATTATAGAAATTCACAATTTACTCCTGAAACTGGTGAAGAACTGTTTCCCATACGTCACTCAAATATGTTATACAAGGGCTTAGCTACTGATGCTACTCGGTGATTAGCGGTATTTTATTAAACTTTGTGGTCTCGGTGGTTACAGATAATTAGGTTTACAGCTGCAGCAATACGTCTGAGCTAGAAGTCTGAGCCCTACACACATTTCTAACATAGCAACATTAAAGTTGTGGAAACAGTTTCTGACCCTAGTGAGCTGAAAGGACAACACCATAGCAGCATTCAGATCTGCAGTGAACATTTAGAACACAGCTGATGCACAGGCTACGAGGGCTGGATAGTGCTATTTGCTCAGACATTTGATGTAAAACCTCTACATATTCCAATTTTAAAACCACCGCCAAACACTTGTGCCAGACACGCGTGACTGCAGCAGCACGGCTAACCATATCAGCTCCGGTAAGGAAAAACTAAGTCATTTGGGAAAGCTATGACATTCTCAAAGGTTGGATCTAAATGATGATCCACATATTTCAACAAGTTTCCTGTATTAACTTCATGTCCTCCTGGGTTACTACCAGTGTTGGGAACGTTGCTTTAAAAAAGTAATTAGCCATTGTTGCTGATTACTTTGTCAAAAAGGTTACTCAGTTACTTACCGAGTTACAAGATTATAAAAGTAACTAATTACCAAGAAAAATAACTGTTTCATTAATTTTTCATTAAAGAATGCAAAGAAAAATGGGTTCCCCTCTTAATTAAACTTACGTAATCTACTATAAGTTACTACAATACCGAAATATAAATGACTAATGACTTGAACATAATAAAATGTAAGTCAAATGTTTTTTTATAAAACTGAATAATTGAAACAAATGGGCACTTGGAGGAACTACAAACAAGACTATTACACTAATCTAGACTATTAAAATGTCACTGTGATATTTAACAAGACCCCTATCAGCTACTATTATAATTGGAAATAGAAACACCTGCAAATTTTCCTGAGCCTTTAAATGGTCTCTCAGTCTAGTTAAATTACTGAAATAAATGTAATTTTGCACGGTATTCAAAATTTTCCAGCTTCACATAATTGTGTGTTTTTAGTAGCATTTCTGTAGCTGGTAATCTAGTAATGGATAAATACATAAATAAAAATCCTTTAAAATGACTCTAGAAGAGGCACACATCTGATGGAGGACTTACATTTACTAACTTCAGTCAGACCCAAACACAGAAGAGCTGAAGCTGGGTGGTAAACACACACAGGTAGCTCTAATAACACCTGAGCTCCATGACGTTTGAGACTGATGCATCAGTGTTGCAGCGGGACTAAAGACATGTTCAGAAACGCGTTACAGTTGGATGATCTAGGAAGATGGAAGATCATGACGTCTGAGCGGTGAACAGGTGAGCGGACCTTCAGAACGTCCCGCTGTCACGCCAAGAAGGGCACGGCTGCAGATCCACACCAGCAGCGAATCTGCAGATCTGCAGCCGTAGACTATTCATCACGTCTTCCTCGTTCTTCACGGGCCGTGATGCGCTTGGATGAATCAGCTCCCGATCAGCTGATGACAGCTTCAACACACCGTGCTGCTGAATTAGTAACACATGCATTTTCTGATCAGTATCGGAAACAGCATTTTGAGAAAAGAAGACGGTAATTATATCAATATATGGAAACAGTTGTAAATCTGACAGCACATTGTTTTATTTTCTTGTGAATAATTGAATTCTAATAGGACAGCCTGATGCAGCTATGAGTTCAATTGCTGAGAGATAGTGGTGGGAGATACATGTGCAGAAATAAAAAACATATTCAATAAAAGTAAACAAACTGTAATGACTTTGGTTCTGATGACGTTCGGCATCCTCCTCAACATTAGCTTCACCATCAGCATCCAGATCGGCTTGAGGATCTTCTGTCAAACAGCCTTGAGCATGTCTCCACCTCGGCTATCCGGCTTGCAGGTGGTTGGAGTCAAACACTCGAACATGCTCGTTTGAACTCCTCTGACAGTATTGTACCCATTCTTCTCTTCGTATTGTGGAGGAAAAAAATTTGACCGACTAGCAGAGGTTTCAGAAGCTACAGTACATCTGATTCTGATGAAACATTGTTCTTTACTATAATGCAGAAAAACCTGAGCAGCGGATGGTTTACTGTTGCTTCCTGGAGGAACAGCCTAGTATTGCATAAGCAACTCAGACCGGAAGCTATCTTTTTTTGCCACTTTATAAAAAAACGTCGGCTTTTCTTAAAAATCCCGCTGTGGATAAAACATTTTTTTTTTTTAGCTGAGGATTCAAAGGAAATTTGCCTCTGGGCAGTTATTTTAATATATTTAAAAATGTTTGATTGTGCAGCAGCAAGGTAGAACTGTGTGAATGAACAAAAGCCAGTACCTGAAAAAAAATATCTAAGGGGTTTTAAAAAATCTTTTGATAAAAATTCACTTTCAGTTACATGAAGGGGGCACAGTGTGTAACACATAAAAACATCACTCCTGCAGATCAGGTGTCCTTAGGGATGTAAATCTCCACCACTGAGACCGATTTGATTTTATCTTGATTCTCCACCAGCAATACGGCACATTAACGATATGGTGAAACCCCCGCTAGGATTCATTCCTGCTAACAATTCATTAATAATTTTAAAATGATTTTGATTAGATACAATTCATGATTTAATTTGAAACGAAACAGAGGCTACAGAATTTACAAGCCCACATCCGGTTTTTAAACATCATCATTCCCTCTCCTCTGTGAAGGATGCATTTGATCCTCTATTGTTTGATCTATCAATAAGTTCACCATTAAAAGACAATACACCTCATCAGTGATATTTCATATTATACATATTTTTATTGCTGCAATACTCTGTTGAAATAGGAGGGTTGAAATGAGGTTTAGACACAAAAACTGCTCAGCAAAATAAACCAACAGCATCAGAACATTATTAGAGATCATCATATAATTATTAAGAATTGTTATGAAACGCTGTAATCATCTGAACATACTTTTTAAATATTGTAATGATCCATAAGGGTGACTGTTACTGTTCCTTTAAGAGAAAAGTGAATGCTGGAGAAGCAGGGAGATGTGGGTTTACCTCAGCTGTTAAGAAGAAGAAGAAGAAGGAGAAGAAGAAGAACAAGAAGAAGAAGAAGAAGAGGATCTTTTCTATAGCGCCTCTCAAGATAAAAATCACGAGGTGCTTCACAAAAACAAAATATGTAAAAATATATTTAAAAAAAGATTTTAGAAAATGATTAAAATATATTTAAAATGAGCAAAAAATAGGCAATTGTGATTAAAAATGTAAAGAAAGAAAGAGAGTGAATAGGAAAGAGGGAAATCAGTGGATACTGCAGAAGGTGGAATAGGTGGGGAGAGCAGAACAAGGATAGGGTGATGAAGGTCACACAAAAGCCAGCCTGAACAAGTGAGTTTTCAGCTGCTTTTTAAAGGAGACCACTGAGTCCACTGATCTCAGGCTCAGGGGGAGAGAGTTCCAGAGTCTGGGGGCCACAGCAGCAAATGATCTGTCACCTTTGACCTTTAGCCTGGTGCTGCACAACCAGTAGGCTTTGATCACTGGACCTCAGGGACCTGCTGGGGGTGTAGGGACGAAGAAGATCACCAATGTAAGATGGTGCTTGTCCATGTAAGGCCCTATAGACCAGAACCAGGATCTTGAAATGAACCCTGAAGCTGACTGGCAGCCAGTGAAGCCGGATGAGAAGCGGGGTGATGTGGGTGTGTTTGGAGGACTTGGTCAGAAGCTGAGCACAGGCATTCTGAACCACCTGTTAGACTTCTCTGAGCCACTGTTGAGGGCTAAATGTCGTTCTATCTGGTGGTTTTAGTTCTGCAAAAATATTACCGTAAGGAATTATCTTAAATCACCTCACACAAAGTTTCTGATGCGCAGATCAATAAGAATGATCAGAAAAATATGATGCTGTAAAAACCAGAGACCGTGCCATGGACTTGTTTTTAGGAACTTTTTTTTTTTGGCAAGTTAAGACAGGAAGCACCTATGTCAATATTGTCCCACGGTTTTCTAACTGCTGTAGCGCACCACCTGGTTTCCACTGAAAGAGATTGTTGAGGCACTCAATACACCTCAAAAAATGAAAACATATGGCAGATAAACTAATGGATGTAACTAGGTTTTTACTAACCAGAGACATACATTATGATATAACCATCAGTTGTAGTTGTATGTGCTCTGAAGCTACCGGTGCATCCACATCACTAACGTCATGAATGAACCATCAGTTCAGATCGGTAAAACTCTCCAGCCCTAGTTCTTATGATTGTCTGTGGGGAGCTCCAAGCAGCCAGAGGCGGTAATAGCTGCGTTCAGAAACCCAGAGCCTTTCCTCTGTAAGAGACGTTCACAAGCCAACTCCCAGCAATGGCCAGCAAGAGCCAAACAGCTTGGTGAACTCCCATGGAAGACACACTACAGCAGGAATGACACAGAATGAAGCAGCTGTGGGACAAAATAAAGTAAAACAAAATTAAGCAAAACAGCAAAAAGCAAAATATCTCTGCAAAACCCCTTCATTCAAAAATATGGTAAAAGGCCTGTATTCTTATTGTGCCGTCTTAGGGTTCTACAACTGCCCAAGGTGCTTTACAACCCAATCAGTCATCCACCCATTCACACACACATTTGTTGGTGGTTGCTGGTGATGATGAGCTACAATGTAGCCACAGCTGCACTGGGGCGTACTGACAGAGGCAAGGCCTGCCATACACTGGCGCCACCGGTTCATCCGACCACCCCTAGCAGTCAAGAAGAGGAAAAAAGAAGAGGAAGAGAGACACCAGGCTGAACGTACTGAATCAGAATGAAGGTCCACCTAGAACACAGAAAAGTCGTGCATTCTGCAGGATGATCCAAGCATGAGCGATCCCTGAAGCAGGAGCAATTATTAGACCTTGTCTCTCATGCTGCAACCACTGAGATTAGCCATACTGACAATCAAAGCACAGAAGTCTTGCACACAAACACACTTCTTCACACAGGTCGGCGGAACCGGAAGTTCTTGCAGTAACGGAAACACTGGGGAGGGGAGCAGCCCTTTTACTCTGAGCTCTTTAGGGGTGATAGGCCAAGTAATTAACTGGTTTAGAAGGCAGTCAGTCTTGCTACATCAGTATAACAAAGTATAACATGATTTATTTCCTAATGCAGTTAAATAATATATAATGGCAGAAATAAAATTGGCCCTTGCCACCTGCAGATCCTCCACCAGAGGGCAGTAGGCATGTAGAGGATTTTGATGAAAGTACAAATCCTAATACTCCATCTGGTAGCTTTATGGTAAGAAGTGGTTTGATAGGAACTTATGGTAAAAGTCTAGAGGGGTTAAGTACAAAGTATTTTTCCAAAAATATATGCTTTTAACACCACAGTTTGTGATTTACCAAAAGTCCAAAAGAAATCTGGAAATGTTACGATTACCAAGTCTTTCATTTGATTCTGGTGCATTTTTAACAGAGACAAAGGCGGAGTGATTTGCATCATCTAAATGACAGCTTTTGTGCAATGCAGCATTAAGAAAATTGCATTCTGGATTTAGAAGGAGGCTTTTGGCAGCACACAGTACCTATTAGTTCAGAAAACAACATGAGATAAAAGACTTTTAAAAACAAACAAACTATTAGTTCTTTGTTTTTGATTGCAATTAGCTTTGGACATCAGGTGCTATTAGGTAATTAAGTGTTCATTGCATCAAATATAAAGGGCTTGATGTTTGTTCGGGATGTGAGGTGAATTGGATATTTAGTATAATGGAGACATAATTCAGATTCACAGTTCAGCCATGTCATTTTTACTGAGGATGAAAAGGTCATTTCATGATCAGGGAATAAAAATAAAAGTACTAACTTATGAAGTTTTATTAAATGTGGCATTGCACGAGTTTCTGTTTCAGCTCCCCTGTAGCCATGGAAATGCCCCTCACACCAAAATACATCAAAATCTGTAGCTTGGTTGGGAAATGCTCTATAGCTCAGGTGAACATCACTGCAGAAGCATCACTCAGTTTATATGGATCATAAAATGACCCAAACTATGTAAACAGGTTTTTAGGAATCTTCTCATAGGGAGCCTAAGTCTCCTCCCTTTCTGGTCAGCTGATGGGTCCCCGGAAGAACAAAAAAATGAATGCAAGTCAACGGAGCTAAAAGAGCAATTTTCTAATCCGCTTTTCCTTAGACCCTGGATCACACATATGTTGTACTGCTATTTAAATGAAAAGTAATGATAGGTGTTTCGACCCCGCCTGTCACCTACTGTTAAGATTTATCAGCTTGTAAAAGTTCGTAATTAGCATGACCACAAATCAGACGTCGATATATCACCACATAATCCCCTCTTCCCTAGCGTAGCTGTAACTTACCAAATGGCCATATTTATGGTGGTTCTTCTCTTCTGAAGGAAGGATTTCAAGTTTGCTGAACTTACAGCCATATTCCCACAGTTTTTCTTTGTGTCTGGTTCGATGACGCCACTTTCGTGATGCGCAGTTGTAGTCCTGGACGTATTTTCACACAACCTAAAATAGCGTTTCCCCACGTTCAAAAATAAGCGCGTTCTTGGTATCGAAATGCGTCTTTAAAATCCACGGACATCATATGTGAAATCCATGGCACAAAACAAGCGGAATTAGAAAAAAGCGTTTTTAGCCCCATTGACTTACATTCATCTTTTTGTTCTCAATTCACGATTGATTTAGCCACAACTTAGTTTTCAAACAGCAGTTGTTTCTTTGAGGCTACATTTCTACTGATAAGTCTGTTTTCCTGCTGTTTATAATTGCATTGAACAAGTTCTGCCATCATTTCCAAGTAAACTGACATTTATAGCTTGTTATTGTTAACAATCAAAATCCAGCATTGTCTCTAGTGATGTTTTGGCATTTGAGTCCTTTTCCTGACTTGTGGCTCAGGAGCTGTAGTTACTGTCACCTTGCAGAGCCACGCTGCTCCAGGTTTTTTAATAATTAACCTCCACTTGCTGCTCCACTTCTGAAAACAGAGAAAATGTGGTAGCATGTGATGTGAGTGGACACAAAGGTTAAAATTACACACAGTATGTGCTATTTAAATACAACACTGTTGTTAATATTGTATAGTTTTAATTTTATATTCTCATGTACAAAGCTGGATTCCCATTGCTGTGCTAGTGAAGTTACACTTTACTTGTCATTTGATTTCAGATTCAACCAATACCTTTAGTTTCAAATAGGATGTGATTTTTTTTCTTTGGTTACATCTCTGTTTCTCTAAAAGTTGTTTGTGTTTTTAAGGTTTTCAGCTCCAGATCTTAAGTGTGCGCTTAGAGTATAGTTGTACTTGTAGATTTAAAAATAACAGGAAAACACTTTGACCATTTTGTGACATCTGTCAACATGTTTTCTTTGTGATATTTCCTTTAAGTCCCCATGCAGCAGCTGTTCTCTTTGTAGCCGAATCTAGAGCTGCTGCTTCTTTTTTGGATTTCATTTTACAACGTGCATTTGGTTTCAGCCTCATTTCTAGTTATTAACACATCATCTGCTTTTAGGAACATTTCAGATTTTCTGATCAAATACATTAATTTTTGATGGGGAATTGCACAAACCTGTTTGTTTATGTACCTTTCAAAGCCGCCAATTTAATTCCTATGAAAAATAGGTTTTAAATAACTAATGAAGGGAGTTCTTTTTGTGGTGTGAAATAGATTTTTGCTAAAAGACTTTAGTGGTTCTAGAGTGAAGGAGAAACTGGCAAATAGAGATGGAGTGCAGTAATAAAGAGCAAAACCCAAAGACATTTTAGTCAGCCCCAAAAGGAAAGCATTCAATAAAAAACAAAATTTCTGCTCCTCTCTAAATGTGAATTATTTGTTAAACACACCAAATGTGAATCTAAGGATAATTGTTGAGTTTCCAGGAAACGACCGCTGACTCTTCAGTGGCTGCAAATAGCTGAACATGGCAGCTCACCTGCATTGTTGTGACAAGGCTGTGAAGATTGCTTTAATGAAATGTGAGTTTCACAAACCAAAGTGCAGCTGTGCTGGTCATTTTAATGAAGGGATTATTTAATGTTAATCTAGGCTGATGGGCTCTTTGGGTGGCCAGTCAGAGTATTTTCCCAGATCAGATGAAAACTCTTCTTTGAAACTGCTTCAAAAAACTTGGATAAATAATTTCCAATTGGATCAATTTAAGCACACACCTGCTCACAGCGCCCAGGTTAAATTCATTACTTAGGAGCAGAACATAGATTGGTGCATTGTGTGCCACCCCAGTTCACAGCAGTGCCGTTGAAACGCTTACACATTGTTGGAAAGCATTGAGGTTAATTTCCTAATACGAGACAAAGCGCCACCTTCTGTGGTACAGCTCAACCCCAGACAACCCCATAACCTCTGATTACAACACATTTTTCATCATTTTATTTTATTCCCTCATAATAAGCCTTCTTTTGAGTATGACCAATATCTATATAAATTGCCTCAAACAGCATTATGTCCAGAAAGAAAGAAAGAAAGAAAGAAAGAAAGAAAGAAAGAAAGAAAGAAAGAAAGAAAGAAAGAAAGAAAGAAAGAAAGAAAGAAAGAAAGAAAGAAAGAAAGAAAGAAAGAAAGAAAGAAAGAAAGAAAGAAAGAAAGAAAGAAAGAAAGAAAGAAAGAAAGAAAGAAAGAAAGAAAGAAAGAAAAAAAAAACATGTGTAACACTTGTCAGTTTTACCATTCATCTGTTTTTGTTGTGTTTATAACAAGCAAGAATATTCAGCAGTTTGCCACTTTAGTTTGAAACATTAAGATGGAGAACAGATAGTACCGAGTTAGGACCCATTTTCCTTTCTGTTTCCAGGCTGGTGAAAGAAGAGAAGCTGTGGTTTCCAGTCTGGTCAAATATCTCGGTCCTGAAGCTGCAGTGTACATCCATTATGAAGAGAAAGTAAGTAGCAGCTGAATTGTGTCTTTAAAATCCAACAGTTTCTCACTCTGAAGGATGGGTGGGTAAAATCATGATGGATTTGAAAGTGTTTATTATTTGTCAAACACAGACGTTGTAGAATTGTCTTTATATATATATATATATATATATATATATATATATATATATATATATATATATATATATATATATATATATATATATATATATTTTTTTTTTTTTTTTTGTGTGTGTGTCCTGTCAGGCTGTGAAGCAAACAGAATTAATGTCTGAATGCTGGTGACAAGCCTTACAGATTTATTCTCAGTTGGAGTATCAAGGCTTCTGCTTTTAATGTCACACCTGATACTTAAAACTTTATTGTTATTGTTTTTTAAATGCTGTGTAATTCCGACCCGACACGGAGACAGAGGTGAAAGAGAAAGGAAGAGACAAGGGGGGGGGTTCCACAAAAATAAACAATCAATGATGAACAAGGGTCTGCTTCTAGACCTACAGAAAAGGGATACACAACAATACAACAAGGAATATAACATCAACATTGTTTTACTGAACAGTCACACGATAATAAATCACAGTGCATTTAGTGCCAGCCACAGCCTTAAGACATTCAATTCAATTCAAAAATACTTTATTAATCCCAGAGGGAAATTAGAGAAGGTGTTGAACGTGCCCAAGTCCATACTTATGAGAGCACAATGTGAGCACCTGTGTGTGTACACATGCTTGTATATGTAAGGTTTCTCTATAGGAGTGTCCAATAGAGAGTGTGAGGGGCCACAGATTTGCCCCCAAAGATGTGTAGGAGATGGAAGGAGCTCCAAGTCCCAGAGATCCAGGAGCTGCCCCAAAGCACAGGGACTCCAGGGAGACTACAACCAGAAAAGTCCTCCACGAGAGGCACAGAGGATTGCCCCAGGGGGCCACAACCAGCAGTCGGCAGAGCCGCGGGAGATGTCAGTGGCAAGCCCACAGGCTCGCCCACAGCCTCCCATCCCCTAGCCAGCCGAGCCCAGAACCCAGCGACCCGGCACCCAGGGGTGACCAGCCCCGCCGGGGACCCAGCAGAGCTCAGGGACTCAGATCCCACCAGGCAGCCACCGGTATTTATCAGGCAGACACCAAAAATCTTAAACCCCCTGACTTGGGAGATGCAAACACTCAGGCAGACCAAGGCACCACACTCCACACCAAGTGTGACAGGAGGAGGGGAGGCGAAGATGTATAGCAGCAAAAGAAGTCCAAGGAGAGGGGAGGAGTCAAAGGCCCCACCTGACATATACAGTCATACACAAACATAGTCACACACTCCCTCCCTCATGCTCACACATACACATACAACCCAAGACGTACAAAAATGCATGCCGGACACCCACTCATGCTCCCCATACACAGCCTATTCACTCTGGTCCCGGTACTGCTGCACAAAGGGTACAACCATCTCCGGTTCCCAGAGTTTGACCCTTTCCACCACAGCCACGGAATACATCTCATCAACACGCATTAACACTGTATTGCAGCAGGTGGAGGGAGACAAGGGGTCTTAGCACACCTCTGTTGTCGCTTGGCTTCCTGGGGCTGGAGGCTAGGAGGGGGATCTGGCCGTCTGGTTGGGGTCTGGCGTGGTGGGTTGCTTTGTTCAGTGTTGGGCGGGGGAGCCTGCTCATCAGCACCCCAGCAGAAAGGGTTGAACGTTGTAGAATTGTCACATTCTATGACAGAATGATGGTGAACGGAGAACTGTTTCCACCAGGACTGCTTTAGATGTGACACACAATGAGCTTTAGTGTGTGTCCGTTTCTCAATATGCGTACTTCTCTGAACTTTGTGCTCATATCCTTGTGAAACATCATCAACGATGGCCCAAGTACTGTTCCAATTCTAAGTACAAGTTCCAGATGTTTTCTTGTTCTGCCCGTTTTATCGAGGATGAATCCTTTTACGGGCTTGGGACAGCAACGTTTTCCATATTGCATTGCGATGCAAACTGTTATAATGTACTCTGAACGTCAGAGGACAAAGCTCATATCTGTGGTGCTTTATACCTGAAATATAAATAAAAAAATACAAAGTTGTCTGTTATTGTAAATAATTGTGTGTACTTTTTTCCAGACTCTTTACGATCCCTCAAAATCCTAATTAGCTAACTCACTATTAAAATAAAAGCAGTGTTGCTTTAAATAGCATTGTTTTGATGAAAAAGAAACTTTTCTTCATTCAACAGTGGGAAATGCTGGTATTTTATCAATTTTGATCAAAGGTGGACCAAATGTTCTTTAAATAATATGTATTCATTGTTCTTTTGTCATTTAAAGAGCAAGTAACTCCCAGTTCAACTTTTTTTTGCTGATAAACTGTATGAATGAGTTTCTAGTCTTGCTGTAGACATGTGTAGTCAATAATTTACAATTTTTGTGTGTATTTGTTAAAATTTAAATATTCTCTCTAATAAAACTGTCAGTGTTTCACCCTCTTCAGACAAAAAATCTGCACTACATTGGGATTTAAATCTGCCATCGCTTTTGGCTAACTGGTACTTAATAATGTTAGTTGGTACCATATGATGTCACAATGCTGCTGTAAGCCTGTGTGCGTGTGTGTGTGTGCGTGTGTGTGTGTGTGTGTGTGTGTGTGTGTGTGTGTGTGTCCGTGTGTGTGTCCGTGTCCATGCGTGTGTGTGTGCATGCGTGTGTACTGTATGTGTATTAGTGGCTCTGCCCTCTTGGTCTGCCAGTCTGCCAGACAACGCCTTCTTGTGGCACATTTTTCAAACAAGAACTGGGAGTGGAGTTGGATTCTGGTAGGGGATGACATGCTCTTTAGGTCTTGACTTTTATTTTTATGCCAGGTCATTTTTTTAACCATGATGCAATTGTGTACTGTTCTGTTCAAAATGCCGTCCTTGTCCTCCCATACTCAGTAGAACAGACTTTCTGTTGTTTTTGCCAAGAACATACATGTCAAGTACACAAGAATGCTATGTGTATGCACCACAAGGAGGAGACTCTGGGGTAGACCCAGAACTTGCTGCAAGGATTATATATCCTCTCTAGTCTGGAAACACATTGGCCTAAAGAGCATCACTAGAGGGAGAGATGTCTGGGTTTTATCCTGGATATGTTACCTAGGCAACCTAGAGGGGAAAGAACATAGAATGATAGATGGCTGGCTAAATGGACGGATCGTCTAACAATATTACTGCCCTACACCTTGGGTGCCATCTAGTGTGATTTTGGCCTCTGTTGCTCTGGTGTTCAGGGCCTGCTCCTGTTAGAAATATTAGTGGGTGACCTTTTAATTTGACAGTGACTTTTTTTTTGGTCGGGCAGTGTATATTGAACTATGCTAAATCAATCTGAAATGGTTTATAATGAGTAAATTGAACATAGGGAAAATGTTGCTAGGAAGCATCATACACACACACACACACATACACACACACACACACACACACACACACACACACACACACACACACACACACACCAACAACAACGATCCACCACCACCACCAACGATACAGCAGTACTGGGGAAAAAAATCATGCTGGGAATACAGTACTTACTCTAATCATGTTATGTCACACACAAACAAAACACCCATTTAGTTTCATAACATGATGTATAGCAAACGTCAGTAGAATGTGAAACAACACATTAATCATGCTGATACATTATTTCAGGTCCTCAACTGCTTTCTATGCCTGGTGCTGTTGAAAGTGAAGATCCATTGGAAAACTTCCTAAAGGAAACTTGAGGCAGTAACATTTAACCCTTTAAAGAACAATTACTATGAGTGAAGAAGGGAGGGGAATTTCAATCTAAATTGGTGACAGAAGGATTTGTCTGGATTTTATTGGAGCCAAATTGTTATCAGATTTCCTTGGCCCTTTTTTAATCACCGTTATCCAAACATCTTCAGCAATAAATGTAAAGATGAGAAAACCTGCAAGTTCAAAAGATCCTTTTAATTTCCTGTCTGTATATTGCTGTGGTCTTCACATGACAAAGGAGGGGATTTCATTGCCCTGCTTCTGCATTACAGAGGAAAACAGCAGGTTGATGTTGGGGAATTTACAATGAGCTATAAAAGAGTTTTCTTTATGTTACCTGTTTATGAAAGCGCTAATGGCTTATAGCAACATGGCTGCCATTGTTAAGAGATTCAGCACTATATGTCACAATGTGTTTTTCATTCTGCACATTGACACACATTTCCCACCTTTTCTCAGTGATTGAGTAAAAAGCTTTGCAGCACTGACTGAAACTACGTGACCCATAAAGTCACGTCTGAGCAGATTAAAGAGGGTGCAGGGCGAGAGTTGTTGAGCTGTGCAGCAGAACGCGTCAGATGTGTCTAATTCACTCCAGTCCATACCAACAGCTTTATACTTCACAAGTCAAACTGTTGTAGTGATTGGTATGGCATTTTTTGCTACCTCCTCTTGTGTTGCAGGGGAAGGTCTGAAAAGATGCTGCAGTGCTGTTTCACCTCTGAATGTTAGGAAATCACAAACAGCAACATTCTGTTTGATTCTAACCACACATGCATATTTCTAACCTAATTAGAGGTTAGAGATGTTTAAAGTATATGAGAACCCTTACATTCCACCATTTATCCATGCTGGAGTTAACGTGGCCATCAAATGAAGATGTGCCATAAAACTCTGCAGCAGGGCCATCTGTTTCCTTGCCTTCATCTGTCTCTTGATCACAGCGTTTCGAGCCTTTGCCTGATTTAGACCCATCTTCCCCCTCACTCATTTCTTCTGTCTTACATTTCTCATTCCTCAGCTGTACCCTCTAATTTTGTCTGCCTCTCTTGCTTACTCTTGTCCTTTTCTTTTTCATTTCACTTCATACCTTCCTCCTGTTCAGTCCTAAAAGTAGAAAAGCTCAACTTTATTTAAAAAAAAACTCTTATCTTTGATGTGTTTGCAGGCCAGCCAAACTCCTCTGACGCTTGGTAGTTATGTAGTTATGATGTGAATGCATCTAATT